TTCCTCCTATACTCATCAACCTAGACCTAATACAAGGCAGAACAGGGCACACATTTGGGGTATAGTGACAGGTTCTCTTGCTAGTGCACCCCCGTTCCTCTTATACTCATCAACCTAGACCTAATACAAGGCAAAGCGGGAGACACATTTGGGGTATAGTGACAGGTTCTCTTGCTAGCGCACCCCCCGTTCCTCTTATTCCTCTAGTTCTGCATGGACTGTATAAAGGCCGGTTATCCAGATGTTTCCAGCAATGAAATGTACAAGAATCAGTCTACAAACAGGTGGCTACAGTAAATGAGACCTGGCTCTTCTCGGCGATGGCCCAGATGGACGATGGAGCTATTACACCTCAGCCGGGTTAGCCCCCCCATATCAAACTTAGGAACAGCAGATGAACGGTTATAGTATTGTGCGGTCAGAAAATGATGCCTTTCCTCCGTACTGTGCAGATCACATGTGTGTCCTTGTTACATGTGGCTAGTAGCTGTGGCCATGACACAGGAAGTACTGCACACAGGAAGCAGGAAGGGGCGTACACTAGGGGAAAATACGTCGTCACATGAGGAATAATTACAGAAAGCATGTTTGTTACAACAAAAGGCCACTAGATGGCAGCATAGGATAACACATGGATTTAGCTATGAGAAAAGAGTTAGGCAAACACACTATGTAAAACTTCTATCTATACTAACTTCTACAACATATTCTATGCCCCATTGGGGCGGCACAACCGCAGATGGTTACAGCTGGCCCGTCTGTGCGGCCATCTCCTTCTATGACGGCCATTGCTGTGCCATGTATTTTAAGGTTTTGTGCCGGTCCACTTAAAGGAGAACTCTACTACTTGTTATACAAGTGATGAGTGAAGACAGGAATGTGGGATGGAAGCTGGACCCCTTTGGGTGCAGTTCGACATTCTCCAAAGCTCCAAAAAGTCCTTTGTGTCCATTAGGGGCCTAGCTCTGTTCCTCTGTGCTGCACCGTGGCTAACGGCGTGGCAGAGATGGAAAGAGGACAGGCTAATGCCCCCTGCAAGTGTTTCATGTAACAAGTAAGCAGCAGATGCGTTCTCCCTCCAAAGTAGGGTTGCCACCTGTCCAGGATTCACCCGGACAGTCCGGGTTTTGAATGCTGTGTCCGGGTTTCATGGCAGCAGAAACCCGGACACAAGATGTCAGGCAGACAGGGGGCAACCAAAATTAAGATAGGGGCTAATGGCCCCCCCACTGGAAATAGTCTCAAATGTGATATTTACATATGAATGGGCGGCGCTATGTACATACGAATAAGCCACGACTCATTCACCCCAAAAAATGTCAGCGTGCCGCTAGAGTGTTCGGGTTTCGCTTGAAGAAAAGGTGGCAACCCTACTCCAAAGATTAACTCTATGCAACCAGGCGCCTCTATATACAGTATATATCAGTCACAAGGTCGTTCAAGAATGAAAAGGTTGCTTGTGGTGTCCTTTATGTGCACCCATGAGGCTTCTCAGAGGTGGCTTCCCTAAAAGGGGGGCTGTTCTAGCCAGTGCGGTGTCCCCAGATGTCAGGCCATATCCAAGGTTGTCCAGGAGCATCCCTAAGCTAATCCTCCTCAAGAGGAACCTGCCTCTAATGCTAGGCCCACCACTTGTTTGCCTGATGAATTAGGGGATCCTGTGAGACCCCGAAACATTGTTTAGAGTGTTCTACTTGCAACTAGTACGTTACTAAACAAGTACTGAACTTGCTTTGGAGTGCCACTGCTCCCTAGCCTGATTGTCCCTGACCTGCCCCTTTGAATCATAGGCAGGCCCGGCGCTACCGCAAGGCAGGGTGAGGGCGGAAAAAACAGGGAATTTTGACAATTACTGGTACTTGTCAAAATGCCCCGATGTTTGCGCTATGTTTTTTTTTCTCCACTCACCTTCTGTGCGGAGGTACCCTGCAGAGCCCACCATAGACTCTCTATGGTGGGCTCTGCAGGGTCTCAGGTGGGCGGTCCAGCCCTCTTACCTGTCTGCCCCGATCCTCTGCCCGCCTCCTTCTCCTCCACGATCGACTGCTCCGTCACTGGGCCCCACCTCCTCGATCGCCGGGCCCGCCTCCCCCATCGCTAAGACCCACCTCCTCGATCGCTGGGCCCCGCCTCCTCCATCGCTGCTGACAACGGGCCCAGCCAACCTCCTCCGAAGCTGCTGGTTGTCACCGACTCAGCAGTGACTGTCAAGGAGGAACGCGCCGCTGCACATGTGAATGGCGGCGTGTTTCTCCTCACAGCCGCCAGTGACAGCCAGCAGCCTGAAATGCCATAGTGACCCAGGCGGCCCGCACCGCATCAGTGGGATGTCCTGGCCGGGCCCCCCCTTTTCCCCCGGGGGCCCCATAGCGGCCGCCTGGGTTTTATTTTTTTACAAACGGTGGGAAAAAAACCCGGAGTTTAGGTGATATCACCTTAAACGGGGGAATTGGAAGCATTCCACAGACTTCTTGTTTTATTCTGAGTGCGTGTATTTGATTATAGGGTGCAGACGGCTAATTAGCAACAGTGACTTTTTTTTTTTTCTTTTCTTCTTTTATTATCTCACGTCCGTGCTAATTAATCTGATCGCACAATAGATGAAGTAAACCTGTACTTACCGCAACATTTATTTACATGTTATATATGAAGACGGGATACATGTGACAAGGCATCTATGCATTCAGCGGTGGTCATGTGACCATTAACATAGCTGGTGATCAATCATTTGTGACTATGCCGACATCTGTTATCTTTCCAAAGACATCTTGTCCTCGTCTCGTCTCTGCTGCTGAACATATTGCGTCAGCGCGCAAACCCAGCCACCATATTTCTGTAGAACCCAGTCACCACTTTGCAGTCTGCAATAATTCAGCCGTGCTATATTGAATGACAGGCAGTGTGGGTGCGTTGTTCTGTTAGCGCTCTCAGGCACTGTGTGCTCTGCATTTTGGGTTTCCCCTCCTTGTTTGCTGTGTATGCTCTGACTGTGCTTGCTCCCTCTACATGCCGGGTGGCTGCAAGTACTCTGTCTGCATGTTCTTCGCTTCTGTTCTGTGTGCAGTCTCTGTGTGCTCCGACCGTGCGTGCAGTCTCTGTGCTCCGAACTGTGCGCGCAGGGGGTGTGTGCTCTGACTGTGCGCTCAGTCTCTGTGCTCCGACTGTGCGGGCAGTCTCTGTGCTCTGACTGTGCGCACAGTCTCTGTGTGCTCCGCCTGTGCGTGCAGTCTCTGTGCTCCGCCTGTGCGCGCAGTCTGTGTCCTCCGCCAGTGCGGGCAGTCTCTGTGCTCCGACTGTGCAGGCAGTCTGTGTCCTCCGCCAGTGCGGGCAGTCTCTGTGCTCCGACTGTGCAGGCAGTCTGTGTCCTCCGCCAGTGCGGGCAGTCTCTGTGCTCCGACTGTGCAGGCAGTCTGTGTCCTCCGCCAGTGCGGGCAGTCTCTGTGCTCCGACTGTGCAGGCAGTCTGTGTCCTCCGCCAGTGCGGGCAGTCTCTGTGCTCCGACTGTGCAGGCAGTCTGTGTCCTCCGCCAGTGCGGGCAGTCTCTGTGCTCCGACTGTGCAGGCAGTCTGTGTCCTCCGCCAGTGCGGGCAGTCTCTGTGCTCCGACTGTGCAGGCAGTCTGTGTCCTCCGCCAGTGCGGGCAGTCTCTGTGCTCCGACTGTGCAGGCAGTCTGTGTCCTCCGCCAGTGCGGGCAGTCTCTGTGCTCCGACTGTGCAGGCAGTCTGTGTCCTCCGCCAGTGCGGGCAGTCTCTGTGCTCCGACTGTGCAGGCAGTCTGTGTCCTCCGCCAGTGCGGGCAGTCTCTGTGCTCCGACTGTGCAGGCAGTCTGTGTCCTCCGCCAGTGCGGGCAGTCTCTGTGCTCCGACTGTGCAGGCAGTCTGTGTCCTCCGCCAGTGCGGGCAGTCTCTGTGCTCCGACTGTGCAGGCAGTCTGTGTCCTCCGCCAGTGCGGGCAGTCTCTGTGCTCCGACTGTGCAGGCAGTCTGTGTCCTCCGCCAGTGCGGGCAGTCTCTGTGCTCTGACTGTGCTGGCAGTCTCTGTGCTCCGACTGTGCGCGCTGTCTCTGTGTGCTCCGACTGTGTGTGCAGTCTCTGTGCTCCGACTGTGTGTGCAGTCTCTGTGTGCTCTGACTGTGCTGGCAGTCTCTGTGCTCCGACTGTGCGTGCAGTCTCTGTGTGCTCCGACTGTGTGTGCAGTCTCTGTGCTCTGACTGTGCTGGCAGTCTCTGTGCTCTGACTGTGCACTCAGTCTCTGTGCTCCGACTGTGTGTGCAGTCTCTGTGCTCTGACTCTGCGGGCAGTCTCTGTGTGCTCTGACTGTGCGGGCAGTCTCTGTGCTCCGACTGTGTGTGCAGTCTCTGTGCCCCGACTGTGCGGGCAGTCTCTGTGCTCTGACTGTACGGGCAGTCTCTGTGTGCTCTGACTGTGCTGGCAGTCTCTGTGTGCTCCGACTGTGCTGGCAGTCTCTGTGCTCTGACTGTACGGGCAGTCTCTGTGTGCTCCGACTGTGCTGGCAGTCTCTGTGCTCTGACTGTGCGGGCAGTCTCTGTGCTCTGACTGTGCGCGCTGTCTCTGTGTGCTCTGACTGTGCGTTCTGTCTCTGTGCTCTGACTGTGCGCGCAGTCTGTGTGCTCCGCCTGTGCGCGCAGTCTCTGCGCTCCGACTGTGCGTTCTGTCTCTGTGCTCTGACTGTGCGCGCAGTCTGCGTGCTCCGCCTGTGCGCGCAGTCTCTGCGCTCCGACTGTGCGTTCTGTCTCTGTGCTGTGCTGACTATCTGTGACGGAATTGTCCCCGGGCATGCCGGTTGTCTACATGTAATGCGGTAACGGTAGCCTTTTTGTTTGTTGTACGTATCCCTTAGTAACGCATCGCTTTTTCTTTCTGTCTGCAGGTTTGTCGGAAAACGCAGCGGACTTTGAGAAGAGAAGGCAAATATACGGTGTGAACTTCATACCTCCCAAAAAACCCAAAACCTTCCTGCAGTTAGTCTGGGAAGCCCTCCAGGACGTGACTCTCATCATTTTAGAAATTGCCGCCATCGTCTCTCTGGGCCTTTCATTCTACGCACCGCCAGGAGAACAAAGCGAGAGTACGTGACCTTCCCTTCCAATTATATTGCCGGATCTCCTGGCCGTGTTTCTCTCTCTCACATTGTTCCGCGAGCCGCCGGTGGTCCGTGAGCGTGTGCCGGGCTGTTCCTTACCAGTAGGCGTATGCTGTGCTGTAGAGTATGCTGCCGATGGTGGCAGTGGGTGGCGGGCAGGTAAAATGTCTGCTGCTACAACTACAAAGTTCCCCTTAGAGGTTTTTTTCATCATCAGCATTGTTTAAATCATCGTGGCACCCTATAAAAGTGTGCAAAATCTCAAGGCACCCCAATGCAAAAAAATGAGGTGTGGCCCCTCCAAAATTCATACCAGATCCTTACCCCATATAGAGGTCTGGTATCCATTTTGAGGGGGAACACTACGCCAAACCAATAAAATGGTGTGCCTCTTCACTTCAGAAACCCCCCTTTCACCCCAGCCTAAAATGTAAAAAATGAGGTGTGGCCCCCTCCAAAATCCATACCGGGCCCTTATCCCATATAGGGGTCTGTTATGGATTTTGAGGGGGGACCCTACACCAAACCAAAAAAATGGTGTGCCTCTTCGCTTCAGAGTCCCTCCTTCTAATCACGAGCCCTCCCCCCATTACAGCAGAGCCCCCCCTTTCACATCAGAATCCCACCTTTTACTTCAGAGCCCCTCTTTACACCCCCTTTACATGGGTGGGGAACATAAACTTGGGGGGTGGGGCAGGGGTTGAAAGGTGTATTACGAGTGAGAGGTTGGGTATAATAGGAGTATATGTGGAGGGTGCCAAAAGTGATCCTCCATAATAACCCCGCACTCTCCTTTTGAGTCCAGGTGACTTGCCAGGTCCTCACCCCATTGGAATCCCATTCCTGTTTCCAGCTCCGCATCCCCTCTGTATGGGTGGTCTCATGTCCAGAGACCCGCAAACTTTTGTGGAGAGAGGTATTGGGCGATTGCTCCCTTTTCTCTTAGTTTTTGTTACTCAAGGGGGAGGGGAGCGACCTCTGTAAGTCCTGTTTAGCTAGAGATCCAAAGACAACAGGAGCACATAATACCAGAATGAGAATTCAGAAGGTATAACACGCACCTCATTTCAGTGACCTGCATCTCCTTCATCATGGCCAAATGACCATGTGACTGGGTATACACTGTATGTGAAACACCAGAAACTACAAATACCAATGGGAGCGCTAACCACTGGTTTTGGACCATAAATATTCACCCACAATAGTGTACCTGAGGAACCTTTAGCGGTCGTCTTTGGTGTCGGGGGGAAGCCGGGGAGGAGATGGACAAACCTCCATTCGCCGGTCCCCTCCTCGTTCTACCAGGCCGGGAGTGATGCAGATTACATCACTTCCTGTCCCTGAGCTGTCATTGGTCAGATCCTGAAGCCTGCGATCTGCACCCCAATAGCTTATTTATAGTCGTGAAGTGAACCCTGATAAACACTTCTGTACCTGGACCGGAGGTCCCTAAACGTTTTAAATAAAGGGCCTGCTGACTGTCCATGAAACTTTAGGTGGCCCAGGCTGTGGCCAGTAGAGCAGAAAATGCCCCAGGGTTGGTGGGAGCAAAAAAAATGACCTAGCACCTTTTGGTAAATGGGAAATAATGCCCCATCATTGGTGTCAGTGGGGGGAATAGTGCCCCATCATTGATGTCAGTGGGAGGAATAGTGCCCCATCATTGATGTCAGTGGGAGGAATAGTGCCCCATCATTGATGTCAGTGGGAGGAATAGTGCCCCATCATTGATGTCAGTGGGAGGAATAGTGCCCCATCATTGATGTCAGTGGGAGGAATAGTGCCCCATCATTGATGTCAGTGGGAGGAATAGTGCCCCATCATTGATGTCAGTGGGAGGAATAGTGCCCCATCATTGATGTCAGTGGGAGGAATAGTGCCCCATCATTGATGTCAGTGGGAGGAATAGTGCCCCATCATTGATGTCAGTGGGAGGAATAGTGCCCCATCATTGATGTCAGTGGGAGGAATAGTGCCCCATCATTGATGTCAGTGGGAGGAATAGTGCCCCATCATTGATGTCAGTGGGAGGAATAGTGCCCCATCATTGATGTCAGTGGGAGGAATAGTGCCCCATCATTGATGTCAGTGGGAGGAATAGTGCCCCATCATTGATGTCAGTGGGAGGAATAGTGCCCCATCATTGATGTCAGTGGGAGGAATAGTGCCCCATCATTGATGTCAGTGGGAGGAATAGTGCCCCATCATTGATGTCAGTGGGAGGAATAGTGCCCCATCATTGATGTCAGTGGGAGGAATAGTGCCCCATCATTGATGTCAGTGGGAGGAATAGTGCCCCATCATTGATGTCAGTGGGAGGAATAGTGCCCCATCATTGATGTCAGTGGGAGGAATAGTGCCCCATCATTGATGTCAGTGGGAGGAATAGTGCCCCATCATTGATGTCAGTGGGAGGAATAGTGCCCCATCATTGATGTCAGTGGGAGGAATAGTGCCCCATCATTGATGTCAGTGGGAGGAATAGTGCCCCATCATTGATGTCAGTGGGAGGAATAGTGCCCCATCATTGATGTCAGTGGGAGGAATAGTGCCCCATCATTGATGTCAGTGGGAGGAATAGTGCCCCATCATTGATGTCAGTGGGAGGAATAGTGCCCCATCATTGATGTCAGTGGGAGGAATAGTGCCCCATCATTGATGTCAGTGGGAGGAATAGTGCCCCATCATTGATGTCAGTGGGAGGAATAGTGCCCCATCATTGATGTCAGTGGGGGGAATAGTACCCCATCATTGGTGTCAGTGGAGGAATAGTGCCCCATCATTGATGTCAGTGGGGGGAATAGTGCCCCATCATTGGTATCAGTGGGAGGCATAGTGCCCCATCATTGGTATCAGTGGGGGGAATAGTGTCCCATCATTGGTGTCAGTGGGAGGAATAACAGTGTCCCAAGGGCCGGTTAAAGACAAGAAAATGTCCACATCCCACCCAGGGGCCACAGATCCCCTGATCTATACAGTAATATATAGGACAAGGCTGGTAAAATCCCAGGAGCCAGGTAGCCAATACTCCTTCAAATTTACGGTTGGCCCCTAACCTTGGAGGGTTTCTCTTGTGGTTGTCAATGGAGGTGGCACCTAAGGAAAACAAACTGCTGGCTCCTGAATTGGACAGACCGGCCCCTGAATTCCATATTCATTTGTCTACTGTTTTGTTTAGGGCAAAATAATCAACGACATCTGCTGAAGGCTAACCACGCACCCCGCTGTGCACAGCTAAGTCTGAGCGGAGTGTGAAATGGCTGCCCATTCATTTGTGGTGTACGGACCTAGTCCTCATTTAATGGCCCTTTAAATAGAAACAAGTTCCGGCCGTACAATTGACAGTTAAAATGAGGTCAATCGGGTTTCTTCTGTTCCGAACCAATCCTTATTGTAATTTTTCATGCTTTAAGGAATCAAGCTGCTCTCATCACTTTAAGTATTTATGGCCGTTCTTGAAGTGTGTACCAAGGTTCATAGCTAAAGAACATCCTGTATTATCTTCTAACACCATCTCCTCCAGGAGGCCACGTATGCAGCGGATCGGAGCTATGTCATGTGGCGCTGTCGGAGGTTTTCTCGGCCATCTTCCCCGGGCTCGGTCTACTACTGAACCGAGCTTTTCAGACTGATAGCAATGGCGTGCTGTAATGCCCAATTGGACTTGATGGACATATGTCTTTATTCAACCTCAAATACTATGTAACTTACTGGCTAACCACTTGAAGCCCGGGGCGTTACACCCCCTTCCTGTCCCGGCCCCCTAATATCGCTTTATACTACAAAGCTGCACCTCTCGACAGACTAGTGGTGCTGGAACTGATCCACCAAGCAGTAGGGCATTGTGGAGCTGAAAGACTCCTCCAGCCCAATATTGGGACTTCCATGGCTTTTCTCACCCTTGCCCTCAAAAGTCATTTGGCATCTGACCGTCGGAACAATTCAGACTATGAGGAAATCCCTATATCCACTAACCCCAGTCAGGGCTGGATTTACTGCCGCCGCAATGCCAGGTTCCTCGATGGACCCCCCTGTATGCCTGCATACAAGTGATCTTGGTGACATCGCCGAGATCACTCGTATAAAACAAGCGGCGGCTTCCCCGCTGCACATTTGGCTCCTCTTGCCCAAAGATGGGCTAAATGTAGAAAACAACTGCCCGCCCGGCGCCCGGAACTGCATGTCCCGGGCATTGGGAGATAGGAATTCCACACCCCTGCTGCCCCTCTACTCCCTGCTGCCCCGAGGTTGGCCTTGTGGGAAATCCGAACCCTGACCCCAGTGATAGGTGATTCATAGGCAGCTTTGCTGCCTACTTGCACCTATTTCCGCCTCCTTGACGTTAGAGTCAAAGAGCGGTGGCTCTACCACACAGATACTAGGAATGCCATTATGATAGGCCACTGGATATAGACCCACCACTAGATTTCCGGAGCTTGTACAAGACTAGACACTTTCTGGTGTCTATTCCCAGAGTACAGGATCTATGCCGTCCTCTACCCCAACAGCTCAGCCGTGGACCTGGGGGACACTATGAGACAACCATACTCTGCAAGCCTTAGACCCATCAGTGGTGGCTGCCCATTCTGGGCACCCCTTTCCACCTCCTCAATAGAGCCCCCTTCCCTTTCCACTACGTGTTCAGCCCCCCTAATCTATCACCCCCCCTATTTTTGTGCTGCTATGACATCTCTGTTTCCATCCTGATGTGTTGATTCACCAGTCCACACAAAGTATTGCTATGGAGCAGTTCAGGTCATGTTTTAGAACAGTATATCTCTACTGACATGACAGGTGCCATGAGGGTGGAATAAAGAACAGCGGCCATGATTCATGATGAAGAAACATAATCGCATTGCGTTGGTTGTCGTGATCTATATAAGGCATCATTCTTTATTGTGAAGCATGGCTTCATTAGCCGTGTACACGTCAGGTACACGGGAGGAGGTAGACCTTCGTCGGGGGCGTTTGGTGCTGGAATGTTTTCAGGGTTTATATACCTCTGGTGATTTAACACGCTTGTGGTTTTTGTTGCAGGCGCCCTTTAACTAAATGACAAGAAATATGGAGTTGGGTTGCCGTTACCTGCAAGCTCAGCATAATACTGAGCTCCTTGAACAGCGTGTGTGTTGTAGATCACATTTGTTCTTGACCTAAAAACCCACTTTCCGTCTTCGCACAGCAATAATAAAATTCGCATTGGATGTTTGTTATATGACCTATTTACCAGCAATTGAAATAACATAGTAACATAGTATTTGAGGTTGAATAAAGACACAGGTCCATTAAGTCCAACCTCTAGCGGGTATGCATGTTATTCTACATGTGTATGAGTCCATGTCTGATCTTATTCTTATGTGTGACTGTCCCCCTGTATGTTGCGGTCTCTGAGGAAATCGTCCAAATGCTTTTTGAATGATTCCACACTCTCAGCTGAAATCACTGCTTGCGGCAGCGAGTTCCAGACCCCTAACTGGTCTAACTGAGAAGAAACCCCCTGCGCCCCTTGCGCTGAAATCTTTTCTCCACCAGTTTTAGGTGGTGGCCTCTGGTCTTTGTTTTGGAGTTTACCGTAAAAAGTTTATTGCCGATGTTGCCATCACCGCTAAACATCTTGTACATCAGAATCATATCCCCCCCTTAATATCCGCACCTCCAGCGTGAGCATGTTTAAATTTAGTAACCTTGTCTCGTATCTTTGGTCCTCCATCCCCTTAATTAGTTTAGTTGTACTTATCTCTGGACTCTCTCCAGTTCAAGGACGTCCTTTCTTAGTACTGGTGACCAAAACTGGACCGCGTACTCCAGATGAGGCCGAACCAGCGATCTATAAAGTGGCAAAATGATAGATTTGTCTCTACAGTTCATTCCCTTTATAATACAAAACAGAACTCTGCTCGCTTTGTTTGCAGCAGCCTGGCTTCCCTTTATTATACAAAACAGAACTCTGCTCGCTTTGTTTACAGCAGCCTGGCATTGTGTGCCGCAGCCTGGCATTGTGTGCCGCAGCCTGGCATTGTGTGCCGCAGCCTGGCACTGCAAGCTATTGTTCAATCTGTGGTCTACAGTGACCCCCAAATCTTTCTCCATTTTTGACTTCCCTAGTGGAGTTCCCATTAAAGGAGAACTATGGGGTCAGGGCTTTTCCCCATAGTTCTCCTCAGGGTCACGGGAGGACACAAACAAGCGTCCTCCCGTCACCCAAAGCTCAGTATACCGCGAGCTACAGCTCCCTATATACTGAGACCGCTGCAGCCAGGACGGATCCCGACATTACTGTCGAGATCCATCCAGCTGCGTGATTGACAGCTGGCTCTGCCTATCCAGAGGCAGAGCCAGCTGTGACCGCCCCCTCGCCCCGTCCGTTCCGCCAGTCAGCGTTGGAGGATAGGACAGGGGAGGGAGGAATCCCTGCAGGGAGCCGTGAGTGACAGTCACGGCTCTCTGCAGGGATAGATCGAGAAGTGAGCTCCTTTTATGTGTTCATTGTGACACGTCAAGATTATGAGGCTGGGCCGGTGAATACTATGTAAACTGCTGATTTTTGAAAACCCAATAAATACTTGGTTAAGAAGATTATGAGGCTGAGTGAAAATCACTCACCTCATAATTCTCCTTTAATATGTATTCCTCTTGCCTATTTTTAACCCCAAAGTGCATTACTTCACATTTATCGACATTAAACCTCATCTGCTATATAGTTGCTCCTCCCCCTATTTTATCCAGGTCCTCCTGTAATGTTATAATGTCTAAGTCCGTGTCTATTACCCTCCCTATTTTAGTGTCATCAGCAAACACGGAAACATGACTCTTCACACCCTCCCCGATGTCATTAATAAACAGGTTGAATAGTATGGGGCCCATCACAGATCCCTGAGGCACGCCACTCATGACAGTAGGCCAATCTGAAAAAGATTGATCACTGGTGTCCTGCCCAAGGATGAAACGCGTATGAGGGGGGTGGACCTTGGGCAGGACATCAGTAATGTGGTACAAGTCTCAATAAACTATCACGGCGGCTCCGCCAAGTTCTCATTGTAATGACAGATCAGCGTCCCCTGGTTACCTGGTAACCAGGGGACGCTGATCTGTCATTGCAAGTGGCCGAAGCCATCTGTGAGATGATGGGGTGGCTCCGCCTAGCTGTCGGTAGCAGGCTTTCGGCGGGCCAATGGCCGGCCGTTCGGCCCGCTTCAGATTTCACCTCGGCTCAGTCGAGCCGAAGCAAATGCCTTCAGTTTGGCTGAGCCATGAAAATTCGTACGAATTTCGATTCGTAACGAAACGAATCGCACATGTCTAGCCGAAGCTACGGCTGGATCCTTCGGCAGCTTTGTGAATAGACCCCTATGAGTTATTTCCTCTAAGGTGCACATTGATCATTTTTGGTTTGGCGCTCTTATCTGTAATTCTACGCTTTGAGACAATTCTATTCTTTCCGTACTCTGTCCACCGTCTGAAGCAGCTTTGCAGATTCGTGACGAGCTTTCGGCTTCAGAAGCTCAGGGACTACCGGTAGCTGCCATGTTCCAGTCCATGTATCAATGAACGGTTTTTTATGATGGTTTGAGTCCTACATTTAGAAATCCTAATTGTATGTTCTCCTTGATCTCTCCTAGACTGTGGGAATGTGCAGGCTGGAGGTCACGACGACGGGGAGTCAGAGGCCGGGTGGATTGAGGGAGCCGCCATTTTGTTGTCTGTCATTTGTGTGGTGTGGGTGACGGCCTTCAATGACTGGAGTAAAGAGAAGCAGTTCCGCGGGCTTCAGAGTCGCATCGAGCAAGAGCAAAGATTCTCCGTCGTCAGGAACGTATCGGTCATACAGATTCCCGTGGCTGAGCTCATCGTGGGAGACATCGCCCAAATAAAATACGGTAAGAGGGGAACCTTTCCTCAAATGTTTGTAACAGGTTATTTTAATAACATTTATGTTGCATTTTATAGAATATACATTAAAGTGTACGTTGACCCAAAACCAATCTTTTATTACGTTTGGCAACATACTTTACTGTTAGAGATAAGCCCGGGCTCGGTCTAAACCCGGTCTGAATTTGAGCTCTTCCCAACTCAGAAGGAAGCTCTTCCTGCTGCCACCCAATCAGCTGCAGACAGGGAATTCCCCCGCCCACAGCTGCACCTAAGCAAAGGGGCGGGATGCTGTGATGTCGTTGACCTTATATGGCCACAGGGCGATATTTTGACAACGGCGTTGACCTAATACGGTCATGTGGCCATATAAGGCAAATTATGTCAGCACAAGCATCCTGCTCCTTCTTTTATCTGCAGTTGTGGGGGCGGGGAATGCCCTGGCCCGCAGCTGAATAGCCTGATTGGCTGGTGGCCTCGTGACCCTTCTGGGTTTGGAGGAGCTGAGGTTCAGATTGGGTTCGGTCCAAACCTGAGCTCATCACGATTCACTGTATACGGTTTTATTCGGCAAATATTGTTTGTGAATCTGTTGCAATGTTTCTTACCTGGAGATCCTGCCAGTTAGAGATCCTGCCAGTTAGAGAACTTCATTCAGTCGTTGGGCTGTCTAACAGGTCTGCAGAAGGCAAGGGGACATGACAGGCGGGCCAACAACTAGAAGGCCAGAAGGCATGCCAATTGTAGGGGACATGGCAGGCGGCCCAACAACTAGAAGGCCAGAAGGCATGCCAATTGGTGGGGACATGACAGGCGGCCCAACAACTAGAAGGCCAGAAGGCATGCCAATTGGAGGGGACATGACAAGCGGCCCAACAACTAGAAGGCCAGAAGGCATGCCAATTGGTGGGGACATGACAGACGGCCCAACAACTAGAAGGCCAGAAGGCATGCCAATTGGTGGGGACATGACAGGCGGCCCAACATCTAGAAGGCCAGAAGGCACACAGCAGACTGGGGACATGACAGT